CCCCCTGTCACCTTACAGGCAAACCAGTCAGCCGTTTTGTTTTGGCTCCTCAGGCCGTTCTTGAATGGTAAAGAACATTGACTCTGGATGTTTAACATTTTTATTGTAATGTCAGCTTTAGGTAATAAGGTGGTCATCTGTTGTCATAAAAAAGGACAGTCTTTGTCTCCTTCTGCGAACAGGTAGCTGAGGAGGGCCCTCGCCCTCCATCCTTTCTCTTCCAGAGATTTCTGAAGGAGCTGGTTCCTCATTTCCTCAGAAGGTTTGTGCAGTGCTCACGTTAGAGCCCCAGAACCGCTTCTCGGCCTTTTCCGTAGCACCGGGGCCCTGGTGGCACTGTGGGCTAGGTGTTAGGTTGCTTACCCAGCCGCTCTGCCACAGGGAGCTGTGGCCGGCCGTCTGCTCCCCAGACGTCTGCCGTCTCGGACACCCTGGGAGCAGTTCTCTCTGCCCTGTGGGGTCGCCGTGTGTGGAATCCGGGCAGTGGCGATGGGTAGGTTAACTTTGTAATTTCATCCCATCTGGTCTTGATCCCAATCTCTGGAACAAATATCACAAGACTAAGGACTAGTATTTTAATACTATACACGGGCAAATGTTTTTCTTTAAGAAACAGTTTATCGGATTAAGATAATAATTCTAACCGTGTGTATTTTCTTTCTTTTTTTCCCCCCACCCAACACAGCAAACAAGCATAAGCCATGGCTTGAGCCCACGTACCATGGCATCATTACCGAGAACGACAATACGGTCCTCCTCGACCCCCCTCTGATCGCCCTGGATAAGGACGCACCTCTGCGCTTCGCAGGTACAGACTCGCTGTCACCTACTCCTGGCACGTGCAGACCCGCTGGCAGGCACCTCTTGCACCCCATCGCTGTAGCAGAGTGTTGTTATCCGTGGTCAGACTTGTGCACTTGATGTTTTTCCTCCCCTCAATTTAATAGTTGAAAGAGACGCCTGACCAAGAATACTGGTTCTGACAGTGGAAAGAAACACATACACACAGTTGCCCTTAGACATTCCTTGTCTCGATGGAGCCACGTAGATGCCACCTAGGTCAGTGTGTCTCAAACCCTAGTCTTGAGGATCTGGCTAAAGTGCAGATTCGCCGGACCCAGCAAACCTGCGGTGCTGCCTCTAGCCTGCTCGCTGGCAGTGCAGAGGTTGCTGGCCCTTAGCTGTGCCCGAGTGGCAAAGAGCTAGAGAACTGAGCCGTCGTGTGTGTGAGAAGACTTTAGCAAACGTTGAGTTTTATAGAGGAGTCCTTCGGGGTTAGATTTATCTAATCATAGATTTTTAGCCTGAGCTGCTTCAGAATATTTTCACATACCCAAGTCTTGCCAAGAGCCAAATCTCCAGAATCGCTTTGGCGATTTCCATCATGTTCCAAGCTCCCCCTTGGCTACAAGGTAATACTGCTGTCCGATCAACAGAGCCCTGGTGACACAGTGGGCTATGTGTCGCACTGCCGATCGCCAGGTCAGCACTTGGAAACCAGTAGCTGCTCCTCGGGAGAAGGACGAGGCTCTCAACCCTCACGAAGAGTGACAATCTCGGAAACCCACAGGGCCAGTTCTACACTGCCCTACGGGGTCACTACGAGTCAGAATTGACTCGATGGCAGTGAGATGTGTGTTTGTTTTTTCCTAGAGCCACACAGCTTTTGATGCGCTTCGGAATGTCCACTTTTGTTTCCTTAACTAGCGAAGGTCCCTTATGTCTAACTCTTCCTCTGCCGCAGGGTTGAGATAAGCCTTGTGACATTACGTTCTACAGAGTGTAGACTAGTCAGACTAGTTTTCCAGAAAGAGGCTTCTGCAGTTTAAGGGTGTATGTGTCGGGGGGTGGGGGTGTGTGTGTGTCTTATTGGACTGGGGACAAAGAAAACAGTTGAATTAACCCTTGTCTACATAAGATCATGCACGAATTGGGCTGGACAAAGGTTTGCCTTTGAGGGCTTGTCTAAGATAAATCTGGACTACATCCCGTTCAAGCGCCACATCATGTTTTCAGAAACGTCACTGGAAAATTGGTGTGTGCTGTTTGAGTTCGGGGATGGAGCCAGAGTCTGCCAGGGCACTTCACCTCTCGCTGGTGGCGAGAGAACAGCCCTGCCCTGCTCAGTGCACGGCCCCGGGCAGCACCGTGTGCTGGGAGGACCACCGGCCAGGGCTCAGTCGGCGGGGTGGCGTGAGGGTTTTCCCCGGGTGGCAGTCTCCTCTGCCTGGCTGGCTAGTTTACAGCGCCCACACCCACGCCGGGCTCGCTGGTTCTTCCTTTCCTCCTTCTAAGTGTGCTGCTCGTGCTGCCAACATCGCTGTGAGGGTTTGGCTGGGCACACGGCCGCTCGTTCCTTTTCAGTCCAGAGTTCTGTATTCACTCCCGAAAGCCTTTCTCTGCCACGGGAAGTGTCCGTGGTGCACGGCCCCACGGTGGGTCTGAGCCACCACGATGTGAAGGGAGCAGCCCTGGGTCGTGTCGTGGTTGCGTGTTGGGAGGCTAACTGTGACGCTAGGAATTCGAAACCTCCAGCAGCTTCCAGGGAGGAGGAGGAGGCTTCCCATAGAGTGTTAGTCTTGGGAACTCACCGGGGCAGTTCTGCCCTGCTTGATAGGGTTGCCATGAGGCAATTTATAGAATTGCCTCGATATCAGTGAGTTTTAGAGGTTTGGTTTTTTTTCTCTGTGGTGGCGTAACAGTTCGGCACTGGCTGCTAACCGAAAGGTTGGCAGTTTGAACCTATCCATCGGCACTTGAGAGACAGGCCTGGTAACCTGCTTTAGTAGCGATTGCAGACTACCTACCGTCTAGGAGACCCCTCGAGGCAGCCCTCCGTCCAGCAGGGTGGATCTGAGTCGGCACTCGGCAATGACGGCGTCAGCGATGCTGCTAAGCACACCCTCTGCCTCGCCCACGTCCCAAGTGCTTCACGTGTGTGCGTGTGGGTCTCGCTCAGTGACTTGTTTGGGCCCAGCTCCGTCTCAGAGACGGGGAAGCTGAGGCACGGGCACCTTGTCTGCTCTGCGCCGGACAGCCCGAGCGGAAGTGGCTGAGGCAGGAAGTGACCAAAGGGGGAGGAAGTGAAATGGGCCGTGCGGAGGAATGACTGGCCCTTCCGTCAGGAAAAGCCCGAGCCGGAAAGCAGCACCTTCGTTCCTTTGTTCCTTTCTCGTAGGAGGCATTTGATTGTATCGTCTTTCAGAACGTAGCGTGTAGTGCTTTAAAGAGCTGCCCAAGGGGCTCCCCACCGATGTGCAAGAGCTGTATATTGGATTTCTTCTAACTGTAAAGAGAAGCAATTTAGGACTAAGTCCCAGTGGTAACTTGATTATATTTATCACAGGAAACGGTTAAGCCAATGGATAAGCCGGTGTTTTCCTTGTGGAGGTTTTCAGGGGGCACATGCTCTCTCTCTCTCTCTCTCACACACACAGGGGGCACATGTGCTCTCTCTCTCTCACACACACACAGGGGGCACATGCTCTCTCTCTCATACAGGGCACATGCTCTCTCTCTCTGTCACACACGCACGCGCGCGCACACACACACACACACACACACACACAGGGGGCACATGCTCTCTCTCTCTCTCATACAGGGCACATGCTCTCTCTCTGTCACACACGCACACGCACGCACACACACACACACACACACACACACAGTGAGTCAAAAAGTATTGTTACTAAGTCATAGAAACCCTTACTAAACCAAAACTCAAACTCATGGCCATGGAGTCGCTGCCAACTCTTAGTGGCCGGCAGGACAGGACTGCTCCTGTGAGTTTCCACGACGGTAGCTCCTCACTGGAGTAGAAAGCCCATCTGTCCTGCAGAGCAGCTGGTGGTTTCAAACTGCTGACCTTGTGGACCGCAGCCCACCGAGCAACGCTGTGCCACCGGGGCTCCTCTTTACCCAACAGAAAGATAAAAACAGGAAGTTGTTGTTTCTTGGCATACTTGTCTAGATTTGAACACTTTAAAGAGAAGAGTTTTATTGACATGTAATTCACACACTGTCTAATTCCGTGGTTTTAACCCTCCTAAAACAGGCCTGCACACTTCTGTAGGCGGTGTTTCCGTCTCTAACCCTTCCCGCAAAGGAGTCTGTGTTCTTCCGTTTCCATCACATCAGAGCGGCAGTTTTGACATCCTTGAAGGATTCCTGTGTGGTCCTTTGAAATGTTTGGGGAGCAAAGGGAAGTGCGCGGGGGCACGATCAGGGCTGTAGGTGAACGCGGGGGAAGGTTCTCGGTGAACTCCCGGCGGGGCAGCCCTCGCGAGCCCTGACGAAGGAGAAGGTGCGTTGTTGTGATGGAGAAAGAGCCCTTGCTCTCACGAATGCAGTCTTCAGTTTTCCTGAAACTTCTCATAATAAACCCCATTATTTCCTGTGTCCGTTGAGAAAACCAAGGTCACTCCTTGGAGGTCCAAAAAACCAGTCGCTATAACCTGAATGAGCCTCGCACTCAGTTCATCTCGGAATCTTCCTCACCGTCCCTAAAATACTCGGTTCCTTTAAAACCGATGGTGTTGGTGTGGCAGCATCCCTGTCCACTTCCTGCAAAGCCCCAGTAATTTGCGAAGATGTCGCTTTGTGAAGAGTGTGATGTTGACCCTGACCTCAGAATCATTTTTTCCACCATGTCCGTCCGTCCTTCCTTCCTCCCTCCCTCCCTTCCTTCCTCTCTCCTTTCTTTCCCATTCCTGTTGTTCCCTCTCCTGGTTGAAGGCCTCTGACAAGGCTGAGGGAGTGTGTTCTGGAGAGCGCTGGTCTGCCGTCCTCCACTGATGGCAGAGACATGCCCTGCTGGCTTGTAATAACCCCCTGCACATACAGACCGAGACCCTCGTAGCAGTCCCGCTGACGTCCCCTCCTTCCTGCCCACATGGATCCGCACACAGGTGGCATTCACATTCTGCAACACGCGCTCTGTCAAGTGTGCAGTTCACTGGTCTGTAGCTTACCACAGGGCTGTGCTCCATCACCGTCTAATTCCAGAACAGTCTGATCCCCGTGCCTGCAGAGTCTCTCCCCAGTCCCATGCGTCTTTCTGTCTCTGCATGCCCTGTGCTGCACAGTCACCAAAGTGGGACCATGCACTAGGTGGCCTTTTGTGGCCGGCTTTTCCATGCAGCACGTTTTCAAAGGTTCGTGCCAAGACTTCATTCCTGTTTACAGCTAAGCCTTCTTTCGTTGTGCACATCTGCGCCACAGTTTGCTTATCCATTTTTCACTTGGTAGACTGAGGGTGTCTACTTTCTGGCTATTATGAGCAATGCGGCTGTGAACATTTGTGCACAAGTTTTGGTAAAGACAGGAATGCTGAATTCCTATGGACGCAGTTGATACCCAAGTATTGTTGCCAAGGAAGGGAATGCTTCCCCGTCACCTTCCATTCCGCTGTCGCAGTACACATCCAGCTGCAGCCCGCAGCTCTGTCGGCATGAGGTTGTGGCATGCGCGCTGTCAGGAACACAGACCCTGGGCCTACGTGGCCTGCGTTTGAATCCTCATTCTACTTTTGGGCTCTGTGACCTTGGACAAACAGTAATGTCTTTGTGCCTCCTTTTAGCTATCTGTGAAAAGGGGACAGTAGTGCCATGTTCCTCAAAGGGTCTGGGGACCTGTAGCTTCTTTGTTTGCATATGAAGTGCTTCACACTGGGCCTTCTGTTACCACTGTTTCTGTTGATAATAATCCACTTCCATCAAGTCCAGTCCAACTCAGAAATGACCTTCTAGGAAGGAGCAGAACTGCTCCATGGGGTTTCGGAGCCGGAATCTTTATGGGGCAGACAGCCTC